AATTCTCGCAACCCCGTCGTGACCAGCAATGGGCCAATCAACTAACGAGCCAAATTCGTCGTTAAGATAAGGGATAAATTACATAAAAATTCAGAGTGATTGAAAGATGGCAAACATTTTCCACTAACATAAAGTGTGCATACTAATGATGGATGCATCGATAATGTCGAATGATGCATGCAAGACATATGACACAAATAGAAATGAGTGTGTAGTGGAGGCAGTGACTTGGATGGTGGGTGTGTCGATGAGACAGTGACCCGAAGTGTAGGTGTGTTGTAGAGGCGGTGACCCGAAAGGTGGGTGTGGCGAGGAGGCAGTGGCCCACAGGGTGTGCTTGTTGTGGAGACGGTGATCCGAGGGTGGGTGTGTTGTGGAGGTGGTGACTCGAGGGTGGGTGTGTCATTAAGATAGTGACCTGGAGGCGTACCTACGTCAGTCCAGAGTGGTGTCATTGAGAGTGAAAGGATTTAACTCTTATTGGATGGAATTCCACAACGAATTGGCTCAGTGGCGGGCTATCCATTCACATGATGTGTGACTATGAGGAGTAACTGTATGAGAACACTAATGCAAATGCAAAGTCTTCAAATAAGCAAGTCATTAACATGCAAGGTGTAAGGCAAGCATACACACAAGTGTAGAAAGTACAAGTGCAAACAACTTATGGCGTGGTGTTAAGTGACATGCGGATGTCACGAAGCTGATATATAGAGTAATATATCGCTGGAAGGCATGAGTACTCATCATGAACATATGTGGAGATATGCTCATGGGTGCACAATGGTGTGCAATTGTGCATGTACTAATACAAGAAATATGAAGAAGTATGCAATGAATACATCATACACACAAGAAGTATGCAATGAATACATCATAATATGAAGAAGTATGCAATGAATACATCATACACACAAGAAGTATGCAATGAATACATCATGAACATATGTGGAGATATAGTTTGATCGATCAGTAATATATCACTGGGAGGCATAAGTACTCATCATGAACATATGTGGAGATATGTTAATCAACCATGTCAACAGATAGTGGTCAATATAATGATCGAGTCGGTGGCAGCACAAATCGATCATGTGGACCAAAAAATGGTAGGTAGTTGATTGATACAATTAGGCCGGTGGTGGTTTATCGATCAAGTAGATCAGAGATAGTCAATCAAGCTGGAGCGTGTGGTTGATCAATGGTTGATCGATACGCTCAAGTCGGCAACAACCAACTGATTGAAAGGACAAGAAATTGTCGATCAGGATGGGGTGTGCTACCAATCCACAAAGGATGTCGATCGCTACACTTAGGCCGGTGGTGGCTGACGAATCAAATAGACCAAAAATGGTTGATTGGGTTAAGGTGTGCAACCAATCAGCAAAGGATGGTCGTTCAATACGATCTGGCCGGTGGTGGTCGATCGATCGAGTAGACCAATGATAATCGCTCAGACCAATGGGTACAATCAATCAATGAAGGGTAGTCAATCGATGTGATTGGGCTAGTAGCGGCTGATCAATTGAGTAGATCAACAAAAATTGATTGAACTATAGGATGCAGTCGATCAACGACTCATGCAAAAATTGATGGTTTTGATGAAATTTTTGAAAAGAATATATGCGGTGCCTATAATAAAAATGTGAAACACATGCAATATAATATTTGATTAGATTCGATGATGAATCGTGCTACCTTAGCAAGCTTACGCGGTACCTTATAGTAGAGGACGAGACAAAGCCGGTGTCACTACAAAGTGATGGGAGGACACCTCCATTTGCCCGACATGAAGGGATTTCGAGGGAAAAACCTTTACCGCTTAGTGAACATCAAAGTCTCAAGACTTTCCATTCTCTACATCAACATGGTGGATTTTACCTCTCCCGTCGTTGGGACGAAATACCAAAGCAAATGTGGGATTGCAATGATCCCGACGTTTGAATTTTGGTCTAGAATGGAAAAAAGATGTGCTTTTCTCATGGATTCATAAGGAAAACACAAAGGCTCACAATCCTATGAGGTTTCCTCTAGAAAAGCAAAATCTTAACCAAATTTCTCTAACGTCCAGACCTATGGGCCCTAATGAAAGGAAGAATAAAATTTTGGAAAGTCTCACCACCGCGATGGTTTATCGAAGTCCAACATTCGTTTTAGAAGAAGCTCTCCTAACCAGAGACAGTGACGACAATGACAGAGTTTGCTTTCTCCAAAGATATAAGGAACCACTTTTTGCCAGAGAGTTGGGATGACAATAACGCTAGAATTTTCCTTCTTTAAAGTCACTAGAGAAGATGATCGGAGCAAATGATGAAAACCATAGGAAAGAGAGGGAAATAATGGAGGAACTTTTTCCCTGAATTTCTCTAAAAGGGAGGTGAAGAATTTCCCTCTCAAAGCTCCAGAGAATCTTCTCCTAAGCTACTCAAGCTCTCCACATGCTCTCCTTCTCTAATGGTGATCGAATAGCTCAAATGAGCCGTTCCACCTGGGTTATTCATCTATAGGGGTTTATCCAAGGGTCCAAGGCCGCTTTCCCAATTTGGAATGGCCTCAAAGTATCTTCTATGCCTTAATTGGGTAAAGAATCAGACAAATGGGAAAGGACCAACTATTCAGGTCGCCTTGCCAACATGAATTCAGAGACCGGAGGTCCACAATTTGTGAACAGGTTTGACGGTGTGACCACGCCTCATTTGAGTGTGATCATGCCACCGTTCAAAGCATCACAGATGAAGGCCCGGTGTGACCATATTCGAGGCCTGACGTAATTACATGGGCGGTCTGTCTAGGCGACGTGGCCACGCCACTTGTGGGCGTGTTCACACCACTCAAGGAATTTGGGCGCTTGCTAAGATTTGGGTATGTTCATGCCCATTTTGCTGCGTAAATATTTTATAGTCTCTACTTGGTCAGCGTGGCCACACCACCTTCGGGCGTGGTCATGTCGACTACAACCATTTTATGCTCTTCGGGGAGGTCTGGGTGTGGCTACACCCGATTTAGGCGTTGTCACACCATTAACTAGGCATGGCCACGTCTAAATTAGGCGCGGACATGCCAGATCCCATAAAAATTGAGCTTTCAGATAAGCTCACTAAGGGGATTCCAGACCTTGTCGGACCTTTAAAGGATCAAATGTGAGCATGTAACGATCCTTGGACCTCCATAGGGACCATAAATGCTCCTAAAAAAGTTTAAGAGGTCAAACTGTCTACGTATTATCGAGTTAAGCAGTTCCAACATGAAATCCATCTATCCAAACCTTAAGCTTAAGGCGTATTGTCGAGTTGAGCAGTTCCAACATGAAATCCATCTATCCATACCTTCAACTTAAGGCACAAACACATATGGAGCAACCATCAACGATCTATATCATGAGAGCACTTGTATTAGGCAGATTCAACCTTGTGCCACAGGAAAAAATGTCAATGCAAAGGATAACAGAAGCGCTGTCGGTTTGACGACACTTAACTCAGAGCCCAACATAAGGATGTCCCGTGTATGTTGTATCAAAAATAAATGCTAAAAGTACCCTGTAAGATGAAAAAGGATAAGAAGCACAAAATTTTCTTAAAATTTGTGCAAATTTTTTTTTTTCAAATGAAAAAGACTAATTTTTCTTCCTTCTATGCTTCTTCCCCATTTTCATCTTGCAGGGTACTTTTTATTTCTACGTGTTAGGGTTTTGCAGTGATATTGTCGAACAATTAGATAATGATTACTTCGGTAGTTCATGAATGTGAGCAGCATCGTGCCTCACCTATTACCATGCGGTGTGTGCCTACAAGGCATATCGATCAGCGGTTGGGAGCATTAATCATCGTTTCGCTCTGATCGCCTATTGTGACATCTTCTGCCTCTCACTCATTATCTCATGGATCCTCTAGGAGATGCTACTTCCTTATTGGAGAGTCATCCGTGGATCAACCACTTTCACAAGATGTCGAATAGGGAGTGGTTCGAGACATATGCAGTTCATAGGATGAGCCAGGGGAATTTCCTTTTCTTCACAATTATGGATGCTTTAATGACGGGGATTAAGAACCAGAAAGTCCCGCATGATTGTCTGCACCACGACGGGTAGATGGCTAAGATTTCATGTTGTTCGGAATTTGTACACAGAAAACTTGTTAACATGAATCTTATAGAAATCCAACAGACCCGAAGGATGTGACGGGGCAATGTAGTAACCTCATGAGAAAATAACTCATGTGGAGCTCAAATAATAGTCATCAACCAAAAACCGTCGACTCGAAAAGTATGGAAACCCACCGAGAACTCATCGTCCAACAGTCTCTCTGCAAGGAAAATCAACAACATCCAACCGACTTCGCAAGAGCGACAAATCAACTCTATCCGACCGACTTCACAGAAGCGATGAACCAACTATACCCTACCGACTTCACATGAGCGTTCAACAAACTATATTAGTCCAACTTCACAAGAGCGACCAACGAACTACACTTGGGTAGTCAATCGATCTAACAATCATACTGAAATAGAGGGTCGACCAGATCGGCCACCTCATCTAGTCTAGGACTCCAAGAGATCCCCGGGCCCCACCAAAGCAAAATACTTATAACATCTTGTGTAAACCCTATTAAAGTAGGGGCCTCCATGCAATTTTAGGAGTCGTGTCTCCTTTGCATATAAATCAGAGGCCATCATAAGAATTAGGGTTACACAATATTAGACAAGGAAGGTCAATATACTCGTTCTAAGTTATTGTTCACTCTCTCTTTCTTTCTATCGTTTTATATTTTATTCTTTTTGTGTGACTCATAAGTCAAAATTGGATTCAACATATATAGATTTACAACAATAAAATGTTATAAGGAAACTTTAGAAGTTGATATGTAAATACATAAGAATTGTGTGATTTGTATATGAATCTCCCTTATTTATAATGATTATGTCAAATAAGCCTTCGAAGTGGCATGTTTGCGTTTTATGAAAAATGCAGGGGTATTTTGTGATGTCCATCCATTAAAATGAGGAGGCGCTAACTCTCATCCTCCTCTCGCATCCTGTGAGTTGTGAGTGAGTGAGTGAGTCGAAAAGGGGTAGGTGGTTTTCCCCTTTCCATCCTCCCACATTTCTTACCCCAAAATCAAATACGAATACTAGGGTTTGTTAACGCTCGTACGGATCAATACAATTCACGGATCACAGATCATAGCTCTCGCCGCCGCTTTTGTTTCGCGCTATTCTTCAATCTAGGTTAGTGGGATGCTGAAATTTACTGTTATCTTCTTCTTTCATAGTTCCTAATTCTAGACGTTTTGATGATTTTACGGTGGATTTTGTAGTGAGAGATCTAGGGCATGACATTTTTTTCTATCTTGCTTATTTTGTCCGGGGGTAATTGACTGCTTGATTGCAGATGTGGTTTTGTTTGATCACGATCATGCGAAGGTTGGTTAGATTTTTTCGTTTCAAGTTTTGATTTGTGTTAAAGATTTAATATTTAACACTAATTTGACGACAATGTGTCTTTTTGGCCGCTAGTCCTTTTTTTTTGTGAAGATTTTCTCCTACTTCTGACTGTTTTCGGTGTAAATGGGTAAATGCGCTTCGTGTTTAGATTGAAAGAGAGTTGGTGTAGCTGACAAAGCTGGATTATGATCTGATGCTTTTAAAATTAGTAGACTATCATTGTTGGCATAAAACGGTGCTTCTTTCTCTTTTATTAAGGAAGTCGTTGAAGCGGTCTTTTTTCTTAGGTAAGTGCATATAGCTAGTTTTTTATTTATGATTCCCTTTTTTCAGAATATTTCCGTTTTAGTGAGAGGAAAGATGAAATCACTTCAGTACTTTATGGTTTTCTTTTTATTTTAAAAATTTTGCTTTATATTCTCTTAACTAGCTACTTAATTCCAAAGTTTTTTCTATATTTGTATGGTTGTCTTCCCAATTTACCATGTCACTCTTTTGGGATTATGAATGGATTTTGTTTTAGTCGGATGCTTATGTTTGTTTTCTTGAAGGAATAGGATTTATTTACAGTGCTGATATTTAAGAAAAACTGTTGCCATGCCATTTGTAATTTACTTGACTGTAGGTCGCTATTACTTGAACAATTGTCTGAGTTATTCCTTTTTTTTTAGGAAAGCTTCTGTAAAATGGATAGTCTTTGGCAATTGGGAGATGAGTTCCGCGGACAGTCCAAGGTCTCAGAGGATCACCAATGGTCTGTTATTACTTCTAAACTGGCAGAGATGACCAGATCAAAGGGTGAGCGTATCAACAACTTTGATCACCCAAGGAACATCATTGAGACCAAACCATGGGAGAAGTTGGGGCTCCAAGAAGATGGTAACTTTGAAAACCTGAGTCTTGGTCTGATGAACATGGATCTGAAGTTGAACGAGGCTGCAACAAAGGTTTCGTTGAGAAATAGTGCGTACAACTTGAATTCTATGTACCAAAAACCCAATGTTAACTATGCAAACAACTTTAAAATGAATATTGGAATCACGAAGTACGCAAATAGCATTTTAGTCAAGGACACCAGCAATAATAACAACATCAGTGCCAACAACAACAACAATAACAACAACAGTGGTGGTAGCAATAACAACAGTAATAACAATATTGTTGACAAGCGTTTTAAGACTTTGCCATCAACTGAGATGCTTCCTAGGAATGAGATTCTTGGAGGATATATTTTTGTTTGCAACAATGATACCATGCAAGAAGATCTAAAGAGGCAGCTGTTTGGTATGATAATCCATTACGGCTCTTTTATAACAGACTTTTTTTTTCCAGTTTAAAGAATAAACTGATGTCCATTCCATTCATACTTTTTTGAAAGCTGTTGATTTTTTTTTTTTTTTTTTTTTTGATTCATTATTAGCTACTTTGTATGCTGAATATATGCTCTTCATGCTTAGCATTCGTTACAGTATGTTTGTTGTTCTTTTGATTCTTCGAAAATTTAGCACGCATGAATTACTATGGGCACAAAATTGAGTGAATCTTGATTGAATATGGTATCATTTAAGAATTAAGATCCACTTTTGCCAACCATTACACAAGTTTTATCACAAACATTATGTATTTTCGTTTTGAAAAATATTACCATTGAAAGTATAGTTTCTTAGAAAAATAAGACACCTTCCTTCCTTTTAAAATACAGATAATGAAAAAAGAGTAACAATTGTAGTGCTTAAATGTTTAAGATATTGGTTGAATGTTATCCAACATATTAGGATTTTTTTTAATGTATTTACAAAATACAATAACATTTACTAGTAAGTATTCTGAAATTATCTTACTAAGAGCTAATAATCTTGCAAGATTTATAACCCTCTTTGAACGTGTTGTTTGTGAGCCTTAGAGCTTTTGAATAAATTAGAACGCCATTTAAGGATCATAACATGTGTTCAAGGTATGAATGGATATTGTGTTCATCTAATTCATAAAGGGTTTTTTATGCCATTTGATAATCTAAATGGTATTATTGTAAATTCAAACTGTTGTTTTCTTGTTCAAAAAACTTTATTCAGTATACCATCTCCCTAATTTCTTAATTGATATTTTCTTATCATAGGTCTGTTTTGAATAATAATTTTGCAGCTTGCAATTCATAAAAAAAGGCATCTATTATAGGAGGTGGGCAGTTATTCTTGATAATTACTTGATTTGGCTCTAAACTATCAATGCAAAAGTATGGTGTGATGTCCCTTTATTAGTAGAATCAATCTCACCCCTAGGCCGAATTAAACTAAAATTTACTAGCTATTGTTGTTTTATTTTCAATTCATTGAGCTTCACGATAACTGTTTGATAAGGTGCTTTGGATAGGTGTAAGATTTTTGGTATAATCTCATTGTTAAAACCCATTCCCTCTACCCGTGGAAGTCCTCATAGATATTCAATAAGGTGATTTGGAGTTTTTTTTGTTTTTTGGTATGAGCTCAATAATGAAGTCTCTCTCCTTTTTTGGTGGAAGTTATGGTAGCAAGTCTTTTGTAAATCATATCATTTAGTTATTGTGTTACGAGAACCTCATAAATTTCTTGGCAGCCCAACATTGTTAGGGTATCAATTTTTTCTTGAAAGATAAACTAATGTTGAGTTAGTAACAAAATTTTTTAGCAGTCTATTGTTACTTTTTTTACTTTGATAGCCATTTCTTTTCTAGAATTATATGAAGTATACAGTGCAATAAATTAATCAATTAATAGTGATAATTAATGATTAATTTGCAGCTCAGATGATATACTCCCATAAAGAAGTGTCGTCCCAAAATGGGGGTGATAGTTAGAATTTCTTCTAAAGCTTGAACCTAACGGTTATTTTTTTGTGCTATCTTTTTCCATATGAATGAGTTTGTTGATCCTTTATCGAATAGGGCCTGAACTAAAGTTTACAACTAGTGACCATATGAATGCGTTTGTTGAGCCTTGAGTTTTTCTATGGTTGAGGCAAAGTATTTGCTATAGCTTCAAATGCTTTTCTTGAGCTGGCTTAGGACTTGTAGAGTTAGCTTATTATTCTTTATGCATTGATTTACAGAGTGTTTGATACTACAACAACGCAAATATTTATCCTCGATCTATTATAGTTTTGGGCAAAATGAATTGGGTCTTGTTGCCTTGCTAAAAATTGTGACATCTTCAAAGAAGTCTACAAGAGGAAGCATCTCCTATGATTTGGGTATCATTTCATTGAAAAATCATAGAGATTGTGCTCCTTAAGTTTTAATGGTCCAATTTTTTCGGAGAAATTGTTAATATTGATTTCTAGATTACACTTTTATATTAAAGATGATGCCACCAAGTGTATTGTATGTTGGCTATATTGAGGAGAGATCAAGGCTTTGTAAGCTGGATCGTCAAATCAAGTCTCAGATTACAAAAGTTTGATTTTTTTGGGGCAAATTTATTTTTGAACTTATTAAATTCAGATTAAAATAATTCTAGCTAGAATTATTATTTACTTTGAACTTATCTAAGTTAACTTTATGGCTAACTATTATAAGTTTGTTTAAGAAGCAGTTTAAAACAATATCGGTTTTTATTTTCTTATAAATGGGCTTTATTTCATTCAATAAATTCGAACAGAAATCTCTCCCAAAAACTTTATTCTTCTCAATCTTCTCTTCTGGATTCCTTCTACAGGTCACCGATTTATCTAGTTTTTGTGCGGTTTTGATTGCTTTCCCGTGCTATTTTCCTTCATTTCATTGTAGAAAAACTTCACCTACAGTGCCGGGTACTGTGTTCGAAAGACTAAGGTGTCAAAATAGTCTCCTTATTGTTTAAATGGGGCCATTTCTACCAGAGTCTAGTCCCCAAACTCTATAAATTGGGGCTAAAATAGTCTTCTGTTGGGATTATTTCAACCCATGCTAATAGAGTTTGGGAACTAAATTGACACTTTCAGTCATTAAATTGACCAACCCTGCATAAAATTAGAGGGCTATTTTGACACTTCTCGTTTGGTTGAAAACTCAAATGTGCTTATGCTTTGTTGTTTTTGCATAAAATAGGAATTACACCAGCAACTGGTTGCTGTCTAGGTGAGAAAACGGTGAGAGTGCTTACTGTTTTAAAGGAAAATGGTACGATTTGCGATTTTCAGCGATCTAGAGAAAGATTCAATGGTTGGCTTGCTTTCTAATGGAAGATGTATTAAAAATAGATAAAATTTGCTGTTTATAGCAAATAGGAGGGAAAAACTAGCATATGGAAGTCATATTTAACAAGACTCTAATGATACTTTTTAATCTATTGATAGATCAATAGAAAGCCTCCAAAAAGAATCATAAAATATTTTTTAATTCATTTTATTCCCCTCCAAAAAGAATCATAAAATATTTTTGAATTCATTTTATTCCCCCCATTCCGGGCTTACCAACCAAGTCCGTATTAGAGAGTTACTATGTAGTGCGTGGGACAAAAAAAAAAACGGTAGTCTTTTTGTCTTGGAAACACATGAAAAGTAAACCCCCATTCCGGGCTTACCAACCAAGTCCGTATTAGTGAGTTACTATCTAGTGCGTGGGACCAAAAAAAAACGGTAGTCTTTTTGTCTTGGAAGCACATGAAAAGTACAAATAAACAAGAGCAAGAAGAGAAGAAAGAAACAAGTCAATCAATGGAGAATAATGATTTTACACGAAATCCATCACATAGATCGGCATACAGCTAGTGAGCCCAGTTGTATCTCTCCTTGAACACCAGATGCAAACATGATTGGATGAAGATGAGGATAGTTTATCACTAATGAAAGCATATGGATGTAACTATTCAATGTAGAAGCAAAAGTGGATATTCTTATTTATAATATGACAATTGATTTCGGGAACATGGATGCTGGAAAGCCATGTAACTATTGTTATGGTCACCAAAAAAAAGAAGATAGAAGCTATATCCGAAGCTCTTTCATAGAAAATAGAAGAAATGTGAGAAAAATAAATAATTGCTGCTGTGGTGGACAACACTGTGATGACTCCAGTAGATAATATCGACCTATTTTTATTTCTGACTGCATGCTGAAATATTTAGCGATAGGATTGGTCTTCATTATGGACACACAACAGGAGTTATTTATCCTTAGGCATATAACTCAAGTAAGTGGTAATCGATGCTATTACCATTGACACTGATGGCCAATATAATCTCTTTTATGCCAATTAATTTGCTACACAAAATTAATGTTGGACATTATACCCCATCTCAATCTTTATCATTGGGGTTGGATTTAGAAGGGTTTAAGGATGAAGATTGTTCATTTTTATTGCTTGAATTTTGTAACACCAATGATTATATCTATGAAACGATATCTAAGATAGTCTCACTTTACATTTGCCACGCTATCTTTTGGGGCTTATATCTTTGTGATTGGCATGCAGTATTACATCAATGATTTTATTATTGTCAACTCATAAATGAAAGAAAAATGTTTATGTTGAGAAAATAATTTGGTGAGCTGTTGAGAGGCATTGTATCAATAGAGTAAGCGATAAGAGTTGCCAATGCGAGCCAAAAATTCCTATCAACGTTGATCCTTATCAAAGAAGATAGGAGAAAACATCCTTTCTACCTTGGACAATGAAGGTGGTATGCATGTGCAAAAGCTAATTTAGGAACATGATATACATCTCTATGATTAATGGTTTTGGGAATAGATGGCTGCTTTCGCCTTCGATCACTCTTCTATAATTAAATGTTTTGAGAGTAGGTCACTGCATTTTCTTTTTTTAACTCTGACGAGGCAACATGGTCAGTAATGTTATTTTTTAACCCATGGTGGAACTTCCTAGTTTTATCTTTTTTTTCCCATTATCATAATATGAGGAATAAATATTGATGGTTCTTCTAGGTTTGGTCTCATGTTCTAAATTCTAAAGACGATTGATTTGTCAGAGGAGGTCATCTCCCTTCTTATTGCATGGTGTTTGAGAAATTATTTGCATAAAAGCTTGGACAAACTTCAACTATGTTATATTTTACTTGGTTATAAACTCGGTTCTTCACCACTGATCTACCTTTCATTAAAGAATGAATATCACTAACTCAATCTTGCATTCTTTCATGCACCCTCAAAGTTTTACTTGAATCTTTTTTGTGGTAGTCATTGCAATGTAATGTCATGGATTTTATGTGAATATCCATGTAGTGTAGATCTGGTGCTTTAATTAGTTTTAATCGATTAAGTTGATGGAAAAAATTTTCTCATTATTTGATTGTTATCATAAATTCCTTTGTTAATACTTATCATAATTATTTCTCAAACAATTATCATAAATCTTCATAAAAATAATAAATATTTTTTAATGCTTAAGCCCCACAATGAGAGGATAAAATGAATTCAAAATTATTTTTGGGATTTTTTTGGATGTTTCCTCGGGTGTCACACTAAAGATGACTTCCCTTTGGGAGTTTTTCTTTTCTCTTATTTACAGGCACAAAATTTTTCAATTTTTAATGCATCTTCAGTTGTCCAGGAAGCCATATATTTGATCTTTCTATGATTACAACACAACAAGAAGAAGCATTTATTCCACCAAGTAGGGCCGACTACATGAATCATTTTCCTCCATTGTGTCCTATTCAGTTGTTGTGTCCTATTGAGTGCCATATTTTCATTTAAATTTAATGAATTAAGATCATTTTTTATACAATATGCCCAAGTCTTTTTAGGTCTACCTCTATCTTACCTAACATAAGTCAAATCTAAAACATCTACTCTCCTAACATGTTCATCATATGGTTGATGTTTAATGGGACCAAGTCATCTAAGGCGACGCTATGTAATCTTGTATGTCATTGGAGCTACTCCAACCCATTCACGAATATATTCATTTCACATTTTGTCACCGTCACTTTGAACAATAGACCCGAGATATCTCAAAACATTCATTTCTTTTAATGACTTGATCACCAATTGTTACAACCCACCACTAGATCTACTTCTACTACTAAAATTATATTCCATGTATTCAGATAGATCTGCTCAAATGAAAGTCTTTAGACTCTGAAGTTGGCCTCCATAAATCAAGTTTTTCCCCAACTCTCTCTTTAGTCTTGTACACCAAGGTTCATCCTTTTGTAAATTTCTGATAAAAACATCCATAACTAAAGCAAAAAGATGTGTGCTTAAAGCTGATCCTTAATGTAATCCAACTGAAATAGAAAAAAAATACTTGGTCAATCCTCATTAGGTTTGAACACAAGTAACAACTTTAGTATAAATATCTTTAATGATTTGAATATAAACAATATCAACAAATTATTTTTGCTAGAACTCTCCAAAGTTCTTCTTTTCAAACTTTATCATAAGTTTTTTCTAAATCAACAAAAATCATATGTAGATCCTTCTTACTCTCGTTGCGCTTCTCTATCAAACCTCTTAATAAATATATAACTTTCATAGTAGACTTGCCCGATATGAATTTAAACTAATTTTGCGAAATTTTGTATCACGCCGTAATCTATGTTCTGTTACTCACTCCCATAGGCCATAACTTTAATGTATGACACATTAACTTAATTCCCGTATTATTTGCACACTCTTGTGCATTCCATTTATTTTTAAAAATAAGAACCATTAGGCTCTTTCTCTACTCATCAGACATATTCTTAGCTTTTAAAATAATATTAAAAAATTTAATATACCAAGAAATTCTCAGATCTCCTAAATATTTTTGCACTTCTATTAGAATACCATTAAGTCCTGTTGCTTTTCCACGCTTTTTTAAATCTTCAACTTCTATTTGACTAATGTAGTAATGTGATTGTGGAAATAAAAAACTTTATTATTATTTATGATTTTAAGATCATTAAAGTCAATCATATTTTCATAATGTTCATTTAAAAGTTTATCAAAATATCTCACTCACTTATATTGAATATCATAATCTATGAAAGCTATTATTTTTATTTTCATCCTTAAACTTAATTAATTATTTACTTTTCTTTTCTTTTTGCTTGACTAATTCTATGACAATATTTCATTGTATTTTTTATCTTCAAATCATTCTTCTTAGAAACCAAAATTAATAATTGATGTTGAATATTTAAATTTTTATTTGGAATGATCTTTAATCTTTGCAATTTTGACTATTCATTTTTCTTAAAAGAATATAATTAATTTGTGTTTTATTAGATCTATTAATATGTTTATCTCTTTTTTTTTAAATAAAATATTTACAATAGCAAAATTTTGAGCTAAAACAAAATTCAATATAACTCTATCTTCTTCTTCATTAATAACTAAAAAATCATATCAATCATGAATACTTTTAAACTCTTATCATTCTATCATTATGATCATTTAAATCTTCTCCAATAAATTTTTTTTAGACTGTGTTTTTTGTATTTATTTTTCATTAGTTGTTGGTGCCGGCATTCTGCTACATGTTATTGTTGGCCTACATTCCTTAGACACGAAGGAACAGGGAGGATGCCCAGTGGTGTTTATCCTGGCCTTGTTTTTGCTAGGCTCAGTAGTGTCATTTGACCCGCTTCTTAAACCGTATAAACTCGTTTCCTCATTTTGGCATTATTTTTATCAAGCGGCTTCTTTTGTTTCTATGTTCGTTTTGTTGACCTTACCATTTTTGATAAGTAATTGTATAATTACAAATAAATTTATTTAAATATTTTTTTAATTTACATATAAGGTGTATGCTGGTGGTGGTTTCTGACTGTGGTATATTAGTGGGCTTCTTTGGTCCAACTGTGCGACATTTATTCCTCTAGCCATTGTGCTTTGTGTGCGGTTCAAGTTAAGTGTATGGAGTTTACTGAAGTCATGCTTCCATATTGAAATACGTTCTATATCTCAGTCTTTGGCTGTAGTCTGATATTAAATTCATCTTACCAGTTTTTTAAGTCAATTTTTGCTCGCACAAACTGTTTTTGTTTACTTTTTTTTCATCTTAATCTTTTCTTTTCTTTGAACCCCTAAGTTAAATTGTCATGTAATTTTATTCGAAAACCAATTCATCCATCAATTTTCTTAATTTCATGGTAAGATTTTTGTTGTCTAAATATTCGACGATGTGCTAAGTTTGCTTTTTTTAGGTTTGCCTCCAAGGTACCGTGACTCTGTCCGTGCAATTACTCCAGGATTACCTCTTTTCCTGTACAACTACACAACTCATCAGCTTCATGGAATTTTCGATGTATGCCTTCTTTACTACCGTTCATACACATTACAGAAATCCTTTTTACTCCTTTAATGGTTAATCATTTTTAGACATTTCCGAATCCATATTGTTTGCTTCATCCGCTTTGTTTTCCACCCTGCAGGCTGCAAGTTTTGGGGGTTCTAACATAGATCCAACTGCCTGGGAAGATAAGAAGTGTAAAGGGGAGTCTAGGTTTCCTGCGCAGGTGAACAAAAATTGTTTAATTGTAGCTTCATCAATCTCTTATACTTTAAAAAACTGAATAATCTTGTGACAAAGTTTTCTAATTGGAAACTTTTAGGTCAGGATTCGTGTTAGAAAGCTCTGTAAGCCCCTTGAAGAAGATGCTTTTAGGCCTGTTCTGCATCATTATGATGGCCCCAAATTTCGGCTTGAACTCTCAATTGCAGAGGTAAATTTCTGTTCGGTGGAAAGCCTGTTATGTTTATGTGGGTGTTTGTATATATATATTTTCAATCATTTGGCATTGCAGCATTTATGCTTCATCTCATTCAATTCTAAATGGAATTTCAGACTTTTATTATCATTGCTTATGTTTTTAATACAATCTATTGCATCAATCTTTTGTTCTAGTTTTCATTAGTGTGTGTTATGTGCATGTTTCGTCTGGTTTTATTTTTAACTTATTTTTAGGTCCTTTTTCCATTACACTTTACCTGATTTGGGTTTATCACTATGGTACTTGCTGTCTTTTTGGTTTAGAAATATATAGATAACTCCCCATATATTTGTTATCAAAGTGTCACCATTATTCTTAACTCGAAATGGACTGGAAGTTAAACAGTGCTCTCACCCATATCTAAACGTACTATGTTTCCATGCGAGGTATTTTGAGAATATCTGAGAAATCCAAATTTTCTAAAAAAAGTTGAATATAAAATTTTTTTGAAATTTTTTGGGATTAACTCCCGAGTAATCCTGCAAATTAGTATGGAGGATGTACCAGAAATTACTTTGTATACAACTATATGAACTATTGTCTATGTAAAGCAAAATCAAAGGTTTGCTAACTTGATCAAACCAATAGTGCACCAATACTTGTGGTAAAGGAAGGATGTAGTGTGTCATGTGTCCGATATTTGACTCCAAAAATGTAATTCAAATTGTATAAAAAAAGTTTTTTCCTTTTTAAATATAGAAATTTACTTCTCATTTTTAATTACAATAAACCTAAATTCTCACTCTCCAGTCATGCCCGTTGCCTGGCCTTTCCCGTCAAGATTCTAGGCCCCTTTACACCCTCTATCATCTCCTCCCTTCTTCCATGCTATTTTTTGTAATGTTAGAATTAATAGCTCATTATCATTATTACATATCCCTTTCATCCTAAATAGTAACTCTAAAACTCTTAATACAATATAAAACAGATTAAAAAAAACTAAGAACAGAGATATCTATACATCTAAACTCGGCAATCCAACGCGGCTTTGTTTTCCTCTTCTGAGAACCCATGATAGTTTTCACGATCATCTGTTAGGCACGTTGATTGAGGAGGTTCGCCACCTACCGGCGAAATCCCTTATTACTGCAGCCTAAGCATCTGCTAAATGGCTCTCTTCTTGTCTGGATTTTGAAAAGCTTACGTGGCAGATGCACTGTTTGGGGTTAAAGGAGAGGAGAGGTTTTGAGATTTCAGTGATTGGTGTATGATATGAGAGGATCTCTTTTTGGGGAGGAGAGAACAGAAGCAATTTCACCTTTGAAATCATAATGTTTCTTTTTGGGGAGGAGAGAACAGAAGCAATTTCACCCAATTTTTATGTATGTAGATATTTTAGTTAGAATTACTTGTGTTCTATGTGTTTATTTTTGAATCTCATCATGTATATGCTTATAAGGATGAATTCTCAAGGGTAATATAATCATCCCTTTAATTTATATGAAAATATGCATAAAGTCGTGTGCATCTTGAAAGCTTTTTTCTATTGGAGCATGTACATACATGACACCCAATTTTTATGTATGTAGATATCTAACATCAAAATTTATTTTTTTACATTCTAAATCTTTCATATAGCATAAAAAATACCACTATTTTAACTTTTGAAATGTAAAACACTTATATTTTTATGTATATGAAAGGTGAAAGGTGGCATTTATGTAAAAATTGAAGTTCATGTATTAATTATGCAAATACGTAAGAATTAAGTGGCTAACTTGTTTGCCTTTTTTGCTTGCAGACCTTGGCCTTGTTAGATTTGTGCGAGAAGGAAGGCATTTGATGTTTTTTAGAATGTTTTAGTTATTAAAAAAGAAGGAAAAAAAAAAACTTTTGATTTTCATGAATCCAAATTCAGGTAAAAGCGCAAGCTTTGAAAGCCTTTTGGTTGATTTGTGATATTGTGTGTGGAGGGGCCTTTTGTTCTGGAGTCTGCCTGGGGTATATGAAGCGACAATAAACCTCGAGCTTGACATCCAAATACAATTGCCTTTGGTAAGATGCGTGTTAATGTATCAAATTGTATGAAGGAAAATGAAGAACTTGATTTGCTGTGTTGGTCATTATGCTCTGCAATAAGACAGTATTAAACTTCTGAAACTGTTAGTTAATTGTAATTTGCTTTTAGCTATTTCTACCACGCGTGCTTCTCCATTGTTTCTCATACTTTTATAGTCTCGTTACCTTGTGAAAATGCTACTTTTAGTACTTGTTGACATGGCCATATTACTGTTTGTTAGTGGTGAATGCTTCCGCAAATTAAATCTATATCTTGAACTTTAATTTTCACTTGCCATCAATCAATTTTTTAATATTTTTTCGTGAATTAAGTTTAAAGCACTAAAACATTATATATGAAAATAAGAAATATCAGGTGTCAGATATATAAATACATGAGAATTGAGTGCAATGCATGTAAACTTTGCTCGCCATTTTTAAAATGTTCAATTTAACAGGCGTTGACACCCACAAACTCTGACAATGGACTAATAAGATTTTCAGACTAGTGAATTCCATTTTTTATGGACATTTATTAAGTCATTGAACTGTACCATTAATACAGATAATGGTCCTCATTGAACAACTCCAACAAAGTTGAAATCTAGCACAATCTAGATTAAAATAATATAAACATGCTTGTAACGTTTGAAGCTGAAGCAGGCAATTCGCAACTCGGCTACTTTACGCCAATTAATCCAAAAGATGATAGAAAATTGAAAGATCCTTCAAAGAAAAAATTGCATTTGGTAGATTAGTGTACACTACTTTATATTTTAGGGCCATTTGCTTACATGCCACAAAATTCTTACATATCTAACTACAACATTCGGTTCATGAAATTAAGGTGTTATGAATGTAAATATGAAACTTGAGTGTTAGGTATGAATACATAATCATTATGTAGTATGTATGTAATTTTCCCTATTTTATCACCAGAACTACAAATGGAATTCAACGGTACAAGCAAACACACTACGGAGAAAAAAAAAATGAAGTTCTTAAATCCACAATGAGAAGCTTCTTCACTCAGAGTACAAGTCATATGCAATAAAACACCATGTTGGCAACATAGCAAATTAGCACACAACATAAACATGAATCATTTTTTAAACAAAGAAACAAAACAGAACTAAACGATGCAAAATATATTAAGTCTTAAAAGCAGCCCCTCGCCAAAGTTAATCACTGACGGTCCAATATCCTCCCCACGCTACATCTTCCTTGGAATAATAATTCGAGTCCCAATGGCAAGCAGAATATCACTGCAAAACAATAAATCAACTTGGTAAAACTCATAAATAATAATAATAAGGAAGATTTACATACATGCAACTCAAATCCTATGCATTCATGTATCAAACACCTAAACTTCAATTTTTACATACATACTACCACCTTACCTATGCATGAAAAGGTAAATGTCACTTCAAAAGTTAGAATAGTGGTATTTTTTATGTGATATGAAAGATTTAGGTGATATATATGGAAAAAATCAGAGTTTAGATGTTAGACACGTAAACAAATAGGAATTGGGTTGTATGTATGTAAAAATACACCTAGAAAGAAATGTTTTTGAATCAAATTGAGTCCAATGGAAGGAAGAATATCACTTCAAACAATAAGGAGTCGATATTATGGTTGCTTCAGATAGATAAGATAATACAAATAAATATTTTTGAATCACTTCTGCAGTAAAATAGCAACCTGGATCTGCTGCTCTTTCAATCACATTGAGACAATAATCATTTGACAATTTATGGATAAAATTTTTGCTCCATCTCCAAAAAACCATGAAGGGATTAGTTGAGCTGACCAATGTCCTCGTTTAAGCAAAGTGAAGAGCATAAAATTTTACTATTTCCCCCATTTTAAATGAGGGATACTTTTCAAGAGTGTACTGTAATAATCATCATATTAAAGTAATAATTATGACAAAATATATTATCAATATTCACTCTAAATATCAAAATCTTGCAAAAAGGATCATCTAAAAAAACGCCCAAGGCAAAAATAATGTAAAAAAATAAACATAACTTTCTAACATCCATGCATTACCCAGTTTAATTATTATTATATTTTGAATAAAAAGAAACAAATAATCGTGATAAATCAAAAGAGAAATATGACGTAACATGCTAAAAAAAAAGGAAACATTACAATAATGGAGCATAAAAGGAGCAGAGGAAGAATGTAGTGATTATTAAAGCTGAGAAAAGGCACAGTACATGCACATTGAAAAGAAAAAATAACGAACAAAATTTTATCTAATGTTTCGTCGTTTCAAATGTTAAATATAAATTTTTGCCTCAATCATTTGCAGTTAAAAAGAAACCTCATTTTCTACGGACCTGCTTTAGAAAAAAATGATTTTTTTTATCCTTTAGTTCTTTCTGAAGAACCCAATTCACATACATCTTTACAAAATTTCTCCCTCATAGATGATAGTTGTCTGCTTTTAAAAGGCTGCAGTCTTCAAAAAATTATGCATTAAAGACTGAAAGCACCTCGTTGCCTAGCTTACAGACACATGTAAATTACGGAAAACTAGTTCTGCCTACTTAATGTGCTTCGATTTGGTAAAAATAAAAGCAACATACCAATTTCATGCAAAACTAAATGGGAGTAAATACAAAGGATTCACGAGCAAGCCAAAAGTATTTAGAGCAAGGCTAATGATAACTGTTGTGAATAGACTTCACCAACATACATTTAACTGATTACAAATTAATTGCAGCAAATCATCAATATGTATGTCATTAATCATATCCTTATAATTTAGCATTGATAGTATCAATTATTTTTCTCTGTTTATTCATATATTGCTCTACAAAAGCTTCTAACTCCAAATATGTATATATATATATTCCACTTCTACAAATAATTGTATACCCTTACACTTTAAGCATTCCCATCCTTTGCTTCAACTTTAAATGCCAAAACCATCTAAAGCTAATCCAAACCCAAATTCAAATCCAATAATCCTTGCAAGAATTTGAGTCCAGTGAAATCCAAAGCATTAGAAGACTATTTTTCAATATCTTATACTCAACAAATAACTCCCTTCTTCCTTTGTTATAGTCATTTCTCATACTATCATTCTTACTCTTATCATGCACTATTTTAACACTCAAAATTTTATCATACTCAATTTAGCAATCAATGATTTATTTGTACCCAATACTCAAATCCATATAGCATAGAATCATAGTTTAAATGAACCTGAAATTCAGGTATATATGATATTTTCTTATCATGAATTCCTTCTGACTAGCAAGGCACTTCATTTTAGCCAACAAAATTTAACTTAAGAAGTCATATCCTCACATATTATCCCAATTCCTTTATATAATAGATCTAATAAATTGTAACACTTAACTTTTAAATAGTCTTTCCTTCGTCATCTAGATATCCCTCCATCTTTATCTAATTTGCTTTTATCAAAACATATCCTCTGAGTTTGAGTTATGTTTGTAAATAGCATTCACAAGAAATTAGAGGTTAATATCTCTATAATTAATAAAAAAAAGATATAAGAATAGCATTATTTTTTACCACAATCCTTCTGTGACAGGAAGCTCTTCGATTGCTAAATAAACATTTCTAAATTTGGTCACAAGCATATCATTCAGCATACCTTTTAATAAATACTTTCCTCCTTTTTGCCAATTAAAAAATTTCTAATTATACTCGATCACAATTTTTCAACATAACAGATAATAAAGAGTACCATTCACCATCATCATTATTATTCCATTAATTATCATAGCAAAAAAAAAAAATTGCATGCACAATAGATCAATTGGACTAAAGTCAAATTGATTCTAGACTACTTACATCATTCGGTTAGGCAAGTATTCTACTATCCTCTTCACCAACAATATACTTCATAGGTTTGATTATGCTATATATTAAACATAACATTATTACTTCTCTATTACAAGAGAACATCATCCATTAGCCTTATACAAACTATTTTTAGCTTTATAAATCCTCATTTTTCGTTTGTTCCTGCCAAATTTAGTTTGAGAAGTTGAACATATTCTTTGCAAAACATCCTGAGCAAGTTCTATTCATGTTATGTTTAGTCTAAACATTCTCCCTCATAATACGTTAACACTCAATTTATTTACCCATACAACGAGCGTATATTTTAATCCTTTACACTCAAGTTCATTTTCAATTAACTTATCTTATATGGACGTCACATAGTCGTCCCTCTGAGATAATCAATCAAAAATTTATCCCATTTTAATCTTGTTAAGTTTTTATCCATTTTCAATTGCCTTGTTGTAAATAAATGATACCTAATCATTCCTCTGAGATAATCAATCCTTAATTTATTCTTTTTAATTTTGTCAAAATTTAATCTTCACACTCATTTCTACAAGGCAACTTGGGCATTAACCATTTTCCAATCCTTAATTTATTCTTTTTAATTTGGTCAAAATTTCATCTTAACACTCATTTCTACAAATGCAACTTAGGCATTAACTATTTTCCAAGCCAGCACTTGGTACCATATAACATAGTCAGCACAACTGTAGTTACATAAAATTATTAATTATAAAAGACAATCAAATTCCCTCTCTAATGCTCTGAATTCCATAGCCAATTTTTCATAAAAAAAAATTGTCAATAAACTGAAAATATTTGCCAAACTCTTCAAAATTAACAACTTCTCATTTGGAATTTAGCATTTTTTTGCTTTTTTTAGAACAAAATCAACTTCATTTTATAAAGCAAAATATGCATGTATTTATTTTTGGCTGGATATTCTTCAATCATTCCCATTTGATAATCTAACAAAACAACATTTTTATTATTTCATTGGTGTTCTATCTCATTAGCATCATAGTACTCTAACTACATCTAAATACACAAAAGTTAATAAACGAAGTATCACATTTTAAGCATTTAGGGTGTTTTTCACCATTCCTAATCTAAAATACAAATCATCACAACTTACATAATTTTGGCTTCTTTTACTATCATCTTTGCAAAACTTATAAATTCCACATAATTATTGTGTGTTCAATAATATTTATCTTTTTGTTATTCTTTAAAGCCACATAATTTTCCTCACCTCTACATCCTTCACGCTGCAAACATTTTTCCTTGCTATCTAATACTAGAATCTTTATCCTTAGAACTTCCCGATCAATCTTCTGAATGTAATAAGTAAATACCTAATATGTAGTTGCAAGTATATACATAAAAGGAATCAAGGTTAATCTGATATTTTCTTACGATTAAATTACTCACTCAAAAGAAAAGAGTTTGCAAACAAGTAAAAGCCAATTTTCATATTAATATTCCCTTTTTATCCATAATGATAAAGATTTAGCTTTGACTACTGTGATAAAAGAATCTTTGAAAAATACTTACTGTTAAAAGAGAGAGTTTGCAAAAAAAAAAGGTCCCTGGGTAAAGAGTAGAAAAAGCTTTATATATATTGAATTTCAAAATGATTTGGCATGCATTAAAAGAAATTACGACCTCTAGTATGGTATATTTTTCATTGGAAAAGATCATAGTATAGCTCAGCAGCTTCTTCCAAAATTAATTTTTTGAACTTCTAATGTAAATTAAAGACCTAATAAGCACCCAAAAAAAATATTACATTGTCCCGGCCAATCATAAATTAAAAATCAACCATATTATCACTAATAATATTCATCTCAACAATTTAATCTTCATTTTTATTTATATCTATTATTATCCCAAATACTAAATAGGACGCTAAATAGGACGCAATGGAGAAAAAGGATTCATGTAGCCGACCCCACGTAGTGGGATTTGGGATTAAGGCTTTGTTGTTGTTGTTGTTGTTGTTGTTGTTGTAGTACTAACCCAAATACATATCCATTGATAATGTTTCCAACAAACAATAGCTTATGAATCTCCCATCTGAGTTTCTTCCTTCTAGATAACTTACAAACATACAATATTTGTTTCTTTTCAAATCATGTTTCGTAATTTTACAGATTTCCTAATTCTCAAACCTTCCCAATCAACATTACTAAATTAAATATAACAAATCTAAACATAGTTAAAAACAATAAATCATTGCCCGTAATTTTCAACATAATAAGTTTATGCTATGTCATCAACGAAAAATAATAATCTAAAAATTATAGATTTGGCGTATTCATCAAACATTTTTTAAGGCATGATTAAATGACAAATAATTGTTTAAAAATAATTCTGAGAAACCTAAAATTTTGTTGCTATAATTTTCGCCACCAATCTATTATGACATGCTATCAAAATATAGAATAAGTCACCTTACTCTCATAAAAATAAAAAAAAAAAACAGCTCTGGAAGTGTTCGTGGACATAAAAAAAACTGCACATATAAAATGATAGTTGAACAAGTAATAAAAAGATTACCATCACATATTTCCCATACAATTCAAAATTTGTGATATATTTTATAAAAATTGAAATTGAGACATGAATTTAGACCAAGATGATGGTTTGCTATGATAAAGAAAGAGTAGTGTCAAAATAGTCCCTGATTACTTTACATGGAGACATTTTAGTCCTACCAGCCCATAAAAGTGTCAAATAAGTCCCCTTGTTTTAAACCCCGTTAAAAGAATCTATAGACAAAATTGACACTTTTATAGACTCTAGGACTAAAATGACTCAGAGAAAATCAAGGGACCATTTCAACGTATTTCTAGATAAAAAAATGAAACTCGATTTGGCCAACCCACACAACCCTCAAGCTCATTTGATTGTTTGAAGTTAGAAAACATGCTTAAAAAAGTTAAAATCCTTAAAAAATGCGGTAAAACCTTAAGCATATTCATTGATAGCCAAAAATAAAATAATTCTTCATGGGGTTGACCGTGAATAGTTGGAATAAGGCTAATGAGGATGAGAACTTAATTTTTCTAATTTAGAACCAAAATAAAATATGATGATGACAAATTGTGAAATTCACTAATTCCAAGTCTCAGTTAAACGTGATAAAAATAAACACTTCCACTCAAATTCCAATGGTTTCAGTTTCACAATATAAGTAGACGAAATTGTTGTTTTTAAAACATATTTTGTTATCTACAAAAACCCAAAAGAACCATTGAAGAGTATCTTGACATTATTCTATCATCCATTCAATAATAGAATAGCATATTCACAGAAAGAAGTTAGGGCTTATTTGGCTGCTCGGAACTGAGAAGAAACAACACTTCTGGCTAGTTAAGTCGATGAAGTTTCCTCTAAAAAAGTTATTTAGTTGTCAAATATAGAAGCTGCACTTCCTGTTTCTATCATTTGATTGTGCAGAAAGTGAAAGAGTCTAACGGGCACAAGCGCACAAATAGAGGCACATAAAGTATCAAATGCATTCTAAACAATATAAGTATTTAATAATATTTTATAATAATTTATTTTCTTCTTTATTCTATATTATGCATGATATATCATCTAAATTTAATAATTTCTTATCTAATGCATTATATATATTTTTATTTTAATTAATAAATTTCAACTAATAATCAATATGCATATAAGTTTGGTGTTATAATACTATATTACATTATAAAGAAAATAGCCAATAGTGCAGATAACTCACGTTTAAACGACAGGGAATAGCAATAAAAACAATCTAACACAGTTTAAAAAACAATAATGTTAAAAATAAGATAAAGATAATAATTGAGCATATATTACCTATTGCTGTTGATTTGCCTGCTGTTGATAATTTCCATACCCCTGGTATGATGCATATGCATACATGTTCGGGTCTTGTTGAGGTGGGGCATATCCATATGCATTATAGCCCTGAGAATATCCATAATAATTACCATTCCATTGGTTCTGGTCCTGTGGTGACTGAAAAAGACCAAAAGAAAAATCAAATTGCAACTTCACCCGAAATCCAAATACACAAACAAATAACATATTCTCAGAAGCCCTTGGCAAAAAGAGACAATACCTGCTTGTTTGAAGGAGTTCGGCCCCATGAAAGTCGGATATTCTGACCTCCAAGAGGAGTTCCATTTAGCATCTGTAAAGCCTCCTCTGCATTTCCTCTGTATAAACACCAATCAGCGAACAGCAGCAAACTCATCAAACCTCGGCAAAAACAAAACACAAACCTGTTTGCAAATTGAACAAATCCACAGCGTTTTCCGACGGGGATTTTCACGTGGACCAATTCCCCATATGGGCTAAATAATTGTCGTAAGATATCATCAGAAACACTTGAATCAAGACCACCAACAAATATCTGCCCAAAATAATATTATGTCAAGCTTCTAAGCATACATAATTCATCTAATGTAGAATTCGAGGGGAAAAAGCACCCACGGTGGTATTATTTGGATCATTCTCAGAGTCAGTTCCTTGTTGTGTTTGGTAAGAAGCTGCAAATAGTAGGTTCGGTGAAGTGCTCAAGATATGTCATGAAATTAGCAAACAAATATGGATCTCATATTAAAATCACATTAAGCCCAAAAAAATGAGGAGAAAATTACACAAATGGCTTGCCATTTGTGGAAGAAATGTTAGATTTGCTTTCGTGAATCATGGTTACCTAGTTAAGGAAATAGATAAGCCTTATGCAATTCCAATAGTACACCAAAGTGCAGTCAAGCTTAATACAAGTAAAACAAAGTACATTCCACTACTACAAAAAAATAAAAAAATAAAGCTATATAAAGCAGAGAATGCTAATGTTCAAACCCCTCATCAAAGCATGCTATAATGTAACTTCAATCATGAATCACATATCAACCACAAGAAAGTCAAAATTTGTAAAAGAAGTTGTAAAACAAATCAGTGAAGCATAAAAAATAAGATACAGAATTGGATAAATTTCATATAATCCTGGAATACTTCCCCACAAAAAATGTGCTAATCTGGAAAGAAGGGAGAAATTACATGGCAAAACGAAGGATATGAACCATAAAATAAAGAACAGGGAGTGGGTATTAGCACCATTAAAAGAACTGTAATAAAAATATGTATCACTATAATACAATTAGCTTTGTCACAATTGATTAGCGTTAACCTTATGAATAATTATTTTTATTTGTTCTTGTGTAGTGTAGTATGAGGAGTTAAATTCTTTCAAATCAATTTGAATAACTTTTGTGCATGCTATTTTAAGCCAATTCATTCTTCTTTCTAATCCTTTCAACACTAATTTCATCCAAATAACTATTTTGTGCATTTTATATAATTCATTGCATTCCTTGAGTTCAGGTCCGTTTGGGGCAACTGCAGCTTGTTAAAAAACAGATGTGAAGCTGCTGCAAAATAATATGTTGTTCAAAAAGTTGCGGTAGTTATTACAAAAATTTTTTTAAAAAAAAAAGCTAGACCGCAGCTAGAAAACCGTCACCACCTAGCCAGGTTGGGTGTGAAAACACTGATTTCAGCAGTTCTAAAATGGAGTTTTTTGAAAAAATTGCCAAAACAGTTTACCCAAACAGGCAAAACTACGGGGCATTTTGAAAGCGCCACCACACCTCCGCCCCAAATAAACCCTTAAGGATATGTTTGGCGCAATTGCAACTGTTTGAAAAAGCATTCGTGAAGCTACTGAAGAAGAAATTGTTGTTTGAAAACTACAAAGACTATCGCAAAAACTTTTTTGAAAAAAGTCAGACCACAAATTTCTAGTAGCCACCGCAGGTAATCAGGTTTGGTGAAAAAATGCAGCTTTCAATTACAGCTTTTTGAGAACATAGTCAAAACGTAGTTTTGTCAAACAGGAAAAACTGCGATGCAACACTACATCGCCAGCACATCACCGCCCCAAACGAACCTTTAATCTCATTTTATTCAACTAAATTTAGACACCGAGACATTTTATTCAAATTCAAATCTCAATCCAAACACAATCATTGTCCAAATTGCAAGTTCCTTTTATTTATATTGGGTCTCAATAAAATCTTTTTATTTAATGCTTCTAAGTCGCTACGCTATTTTAACCATCATTACTTACAAATATAAATTATCTCATTTGTATCCCAATTTTTCTATTTGTCGGTTAAACCTATCACACCTAAATATCCCTTTACTTTTTAATACTATTAATTAATAACTGTTCATATCATACCACTAAAATTGCAAATAAAAACACAGCTTCAATTCAACTAATTTTAAATCCTCTATCTACTAGTCATTTTCTTCAATGTTCTTATTAGAACAATCATTCACAAAAAGAATACACCAAGGAACTACGCTTTGAATATCATTTATAAGCAACCTTGAGACCAATTCAAAAAGATAAATACTCATTATTTAATTCGAAATATAATTTTATTGTAATTGGATGCTCTTTGGCCACTCTAGAACAACTTTTAAAACTACTCAACAATCCATTATCATGTATCTTTAAAAACTTCAAAATACTTTTGACCCGCACTTCTTTTCATTAATGTGTAGATCAAATCAATTCATGTAAAACACAATTACACACAATTTCAAGATCAATTAAAATCATATGAAGATCATTTGACTGCTCTTTATGCTTCTTAATTGTTAATAAAAAATCACCTTTATAGTAGATATCAGATTAATTCTCGAAAAGTAATTTTTATTAAGTCTATGTTTATTACCTTCAACCACAGCTTCATGGCATTATTCAAAAATTAGTTTTCTCAATAGTGAGAATAATCTTGGGAAGTGTTTTGTTCTCAAATATTATTAAAAAATAAAATCTCTTATAAAACTTGGCATCCTCGTATGTACAAATTTTCACTAGAAAGTCAAACAAGCCACTACAATGTCCCCATTAACTCTGCAATATTAAAGAACATCTCATACATATCAAATGCTTTAATTTTACACATCTTCATCAAAATAAATTTCATTCCATTTTTATGGATCAATCTACAATATTTTATTATTTTATTCTAAATGCTCTTTCAATATAAAATGTCCTTAAAAGCTTCAATTTAATAATTTTCAAAATATTATTTCCATATTTCCATGATGTTTTCATATTTAATCCAATTATCTTCATTTATAATGTATCAAACTTGATTCTCATTGTGTGGCTTAAGTCCATAACTAATTTACTTAGCTCTAATTTTTCCCTCCATCATATAAAATCAAATATAAATAAAAAAAATAGTTTATCCATAACACAATACAGCTTTTGCAATGTTTTTATAACTTTTTTATATTCATTAGCTTCAGTAGTATGCTCATCTACTAAGTGCCAAATTTATCAATATCAAAGTAGAATAATGTTGAAGGTTTATGGAGTCTGATCCTTATTGCCAACTCAATGTATTCATGAGCCATTCCCTTCTCAAATCGAATATTACCAGAGATACATAATGACTAATTTTTTAAACACATTGTATTTTGAGATTTTTTTTTTAAGTTTTCATTCGTGTAATCCCTAAATAGTGGCAAAAATACATGCTAGTTGCCCAATTTGGAGGTCAATGCAATGGTAAAATTCCTAAAATGCTCTATGAGGTGTGCAAGCTTCTTATAATGACCCAAAGATGGAATCTTCAGCTTGGTAGGTTGAGCTTATAGTAGAATCTCCACCAATAACGCAATGTGTCTCTTGATTTAAGTAATATTTGCGTGAAGCCCCATAGGGTGCTTTGCTCATGAGCCGTCTCCTATGCTAGTACAACAATAATTGCTAAAGGTATCGTCTTCTACTTCTAAAACTGGGAGTCGGAGATATTGTTAAGGGAAGGCATCATTGTTTCAGAGGTGGCCCATAACATGTCGACATGGTTTGTCGCAATGCCACAATTTCATAGGCCATCCATTTTGGATGAAAGATCATAAAATTACGCGGAAAATGTCATCAAGTTGGGTTGAGGCGTATACTTAATGTCATTCCCAAAGGTCAATGTGAAGGCATCGATGGCGATTAATAAGCCCTTGTGATCCTCATAATCATCCATTGGACTTCCTACTGGCCCCAAAATCTATCAACAAAATAGAAAATGTTAACAAGTAAAATTGGTTTATGCCAGTTGCTCTCCCGCTCGCAATTTTAAGGGGATGTAGATAGGGCTGTAAAAAAGGATCGTTGTTCGCGATGAGTTCGTGTTCGGTTCGTCAATGAGTTCGTGTTCGGTTCGTCAATGAGTAAACAAGACGAACGTGAATAAATTTTTTTCGTTCGGTTAGTTAAACGAACCAAACACGAACAGTGATGCATTCGTTTGTGTTTGAATCGTTATTGTTCAAAATATAAAATAATTTAAAATAATTATATATATATAATTTATGATATTTTAAAAAATTAGATTTTATAAATTATAATATATAATAAATTAATAATATTAATATATTAATATACTATATTAGTAATATATTAATATAGATATTATATATTTATATAATATAAGTTATATAATTAATATAATATATTATTTATATATATTAATATTAGAGAGGTCAAACTGGCTCTTCGTTCGCGAACAGCTCGTGTTCGGCTCGTTCGTTAACGAACGAACACGAACAGTGACTTCACAAACAATTTCAAACACGAGCTTATTTCAAACAAACTAAATTTCAAATGAACCGAACACGAACACAAGCTCTGTTCGTTCGTGTTCGGTTCGTTTACACCCCTAGATGTAGAAGATTAGTCTTTTGAGCTAGATTACTTCAATTGTTAAAGGTATTAACCGCTAAGAGAAAATAACAAATAAAATAAAGCAAAAATTAATACGAGCCTTTAGGTGATCTCCGCTTACATCAACTTAAGAATTCACTTGCTTTTGTAAAATAGAAATTGAGAAAAGAAAAAGAAATTCAACAATACAATCACTCTCTCCTTCCTATATACCTCTCAGGGCGTTCTTGTTACTATGCCTAATGGTGGACTTGTCTGTTTGTGTTGCCAGTTATGGAAAGAATGGAAATCATAAAGTAAACATTATCACATCATGCAATTGTTAGGAATTATTAAATCCATCAAGCATGGGTTGCTAGGGATTAGCCTCACTATTAGGGGCCCATTAACGTTCGTGTGAGGCCAAGCAAAATAGCCATTCAACATGCTAGTTGGATGATCGTAACGAGGTGTGAAAAATGAGGCGCCACACATGTAAGGTCATTGCTCGTTAGAAACAATCCAAATTAGGACATTATAAAATAATTGCCTTCAAAATACAGAATTAATAATAAACCAATAAAGTGAAATACAAATGTACTTAATGAATCCGATAGGAAATACATTTAATAAAATAAGAAGGTTTATAAAAAAAAAAAGAAATCAACCTAAAATTAAATCATATTAAGATTCAAACACATATGTCCTTTGAAAACCTCAAAACTAAAAAATCATAAACATGCTTCAATAATTGTCTCTATGGCTCCAATGAATGTATATTTAACATGAATCCCGAAAAGGGTTCTTATGGTATTTTGTCGAGCACGAGCCCACATATCATAAAATGGCATGGTTATGCAAGGGTTGAGAACCACAAGCATGAAAGGGCACACCGTCTTCACAAAGAACATTATATAAATTTAAAATCATGCAAGTTTTAAATAAATAATATGCAAAATGGTATTTCATCATTATCATCATTACTACAATCACCGCCATCAGCATAATAAACTTCATTACTCATAAAAACTATTCGGGTCAATTTTACAAATCCTGCTTCATCATTCATTTCTAGTGATTTTTGCATGTCATGTTTAACAAGAATTACGCAAAGTATTTCACAAATTTCATCCATGGCAACTTTGGTCAGCGTGTGTCTGTTATTCATTAATAGTTCGCTGGTATAAATACCAAGAAAGGACTAAACATGTTGAAAAGAAAGGAAGAGTGGATGTTTAGTACGTGATACGCGTGAATAATAATACATAAAGCATAAAAACATAAGGAGCTTAAACCAAGGTCAAAATCATACAGCTATCTCATGCACACATCTGCCTCCAAAGACAACCCCATATCTAATAAGGAAGAAATCAAATCAAAGAAGAAACTTCATACGGGAAGGAAGCAATATTCAAAGGGTGCATATGAAAGAACTGTATTGCTACTTAAGGAGAAACCCTGCACCAATTCAATTCAAATATAAAACATATTTAATGAGAAATGAATACAGAGGAGAAATACCATTTGACAAGGAAAGAATATCAAAAGGCTTTAGCTACCGACAATTATAAAGATTTTTAGTAGAGAAAAAAAAAAACTGATGGAATAAATATCTTTAATATTGACTGGTTCTCTTTTTAAAATAAACAAAAGTAGACCAAAAAAGCTAAAGAGAAAGGAAACTTCAGTTGGTAGACATCGCTTATATTGTAAAGAACTACATTAAGTATACAAGCTAAAACTTTTCACTTTACTAAGTCAAATTGGAGAAGAAAATAGATAACCTTGGCTCTTTGTCAAATTATGACAAAATCAATGACACTGACCTAATTGAGGCTCGAACTAAAGGAGAAGAGCTTCTCAGAAGTCAGTTCCAGGCCTAAACAATCATTGGCCTCAAATTGCCCTGCTTTGAAAGAATATGAATCTTATAAGACTTAATTACTTTGAATAATGTGTTAATGTAGCCTGCTTCACAAAGGAATCTAGTACGAAGCGAATTACTATTGGAACAATACGGCTTTGGTTGAATGCATAACATTTAAACAAAGTAGTGGGCCGGCGTAGCAACACAATAGAAATTTTCTTGCAAAATACTTCAAACGATATCCTCACAAAATAAGATAAAAACAAAAGTACAATAAGTCATCTTGCATATACCTTTTGTAGGATTTTGTTGCTGAATGCCTGCATTGTTCTTGCTAGATGCAGGCCCAATCCTCATAGGCCTTGAAGAACAAAAAACCCCATTCATTTCATTCATAGCACGCGACTGCTCATTCAAATCTCCAAACTTAACAAAACCATAGCCTTTTGAACGTCCAGTTGCTCTATCTGTAACAACTTTTGCCCCCCTAACAGAGGAATAGCGAGGTTTGAATGTCTCTAGCAAGAGATAATCCGTCACATCTGCAGCTAAATCACCAACAAATATGGTATACTCGGAAGCATCATCCCCTCGTCTCTCACCTGCCCCCAATGATGCCCAATTTAGTCTGAAGGCCTGCTCACTATTAGGCATCATTTGACCATTATATGTCTGAAGAACTTGTTGTGCCATTGAACGAGATGCAAACTCTATAAAACCATAACCTTCTGACTGTTGGGTGTGCCTATTGCGAATTATCTTCACTGATAAAACCTGCAGAGGATAAATTACAAGTTATGATAAGATTGGCATAAAAGTTTTGCAAATTTTAAAAAAACTACAATATCAATATACTAAAAAAAATGGACTATGTTTCGCTTCAATGATAAAGAAAACCATAATGACAATGATACATAAAAAAAATTTTAAAACAACACTCAAATTCAATGTCCACAGAAAATTTAAATAAAAAACACAGACATACTAGAAAAGCATATCACACAGGTGAACTTTCATAAAGAACATCAGAGGTCAAAATTATTAATAAAAAAGTTCAAACAAATTTGCCTTGATGATGCAGTTGCAACAAATAACAGTGATTTACTGCCTGAAGCATTGAATTATGCAATTATGTAAAATCTAATAATTTCATTTCCCAATGTATTCATTTTCCATGGATACCAAAGGAATCATTTGCTTTAGTGAAAGATATGAATTAAATTGACACGCTAGAAGTAATTGTGAAATAAAAATGGCACACCCTCTAAATATTATTGGAAAATTCCGGTGCTAATTCTTCAAAAACATCGTTCACAACTCAAGTGACGATCTAGTTCGGTTCAATCCATATTTTTTAACAGGGTTCTTGAAAGTGGATTGAAATGCTGCCAAAGAATTTTTTTTAGTAGAATATGCATATAAAAAAGTGCAATGCATGTTAAAGTAAGTCGAAAACCAAAATCATAAATGCATTGTTTCATCCTAAGCATTAATTAAATTACAGAATCCAATACAAAAAAGCCAAATATAAAGAGAAAATATAAGTAGATTCCTATAGAAATAAAAAAAACAGGAGTGCATTAAATAATTGGAAAATATAAGTAGATTCCTATAGAAATAAAAAAAAAACAGGAGTGCATTAAATAATTGTTCAGCATGGATCATATAATCTTAAAAGAATTAAGTATCACGCAACTACAAATGATATGAATGAAAAATGTAGTAATAGGCATACTTTAGAATCACTCACCACTCTATTCAAAACAAAATAAAATTCGCAAGTTATCAAACTTCATTTAATGAATTAATAGCATATAATGAATTAGTAGAAATCTAATTACTCTAGAGAATGTTTTGATTGAAAAAAAAAAAATTATCTGCCAAAAAGGTTCTAAACCTACAGAATTAAAAGCTCAGGCTCAACTGAGCTGACTTGCACCAATAATTCATAAAATCCATGCAAAAAGCTAAACAGCAATCAAGTAACAACATTCATAGCAAATAGCAAAGCAGCAATAATAATAAAAAGAACAAAAAGAATTGATAATAATAATAATAGTAAAACAATTAATAATTGTGAAAAAAAAATAACATGGCAAAGAAAGGATTGTCACCTCTCCGGTCTGAGCAAAACAACCATAGATATAATTCTCATCCATCCAATACTGCAAATCCCCCACCCAGAGTGTTCGAATCTCATCAGAAGACCCCTGGGACGGCTGAGGCTGCTGCATCTGTCCAGGAGTCATCCCGCCGGTCTGTGGCGCGTAATGCGACATGTGCTGCGGAGGGAGCTGATGCTGCTGTGGCGCAGGCACCTGCGCCGGCGGCAGGATCTGCGACGTCTGCTGGTTCCACAAAGTCGGAGGTTGTGCCTGTTGGTACTGCGGCTGCATCATCGCCCATTGCTGTTGCGGCACGGTCATCCCCTGATTCTGCATATGTTGCTGATTCATCGGTTGTGGCTGCATCATCCTGTGAACGGCGTAGGAGGATAGGATCCTAATGAAGATATTCAAAGGAGGATATAAAACCTAAACCTAATAAGATAAGAAGAAGCTGAAAAGGGTTTGAGGAAAGGAAACCCTAGCCACCAAGACGGGGTCGGGATCGGGAGAAAGGGAGCGTTAGGAGGAGAGAGAGGGAGATATTTACGGGAAGAAGGGAGATGACAACTGGACAGAATCAACGGTGGAAGATGGTAGTCTACGGTCAACGAAGATCGGGCACAGTTTGCTGTCGGGCCTTGGTTGGCCCGCCTGTGGGATGTGGTTTTGTTTGGCGGGTCGGATATGACTGGGGTCAACCGGATAAGGTTTGACGGAACCATGTCCCAATTTTGGACCCTTCATCATAACCCCAAATTAAATGATTTATTTTAATCCTAGAATTGCTTTTGTTGAGTGCAAAAATTAGATATTAATATCTCAAATCCGCACCGCTTTTATGCGAGTATTCAAATAAAATAGAAGTCCTAAAAAATGGCATCGTAGTTTCAAGTCGCTAGATTAAGAAGTTTGTCATAATCTTAATATGAATGATGACATGTATTAACATTACTAGTGATAATGTGTAATGTGGTCTGTGAGTATTTTAATTGTGTCAATGACCTGCATTTTGTCTTATGGTCGATACCCGACGATCGAGGTTTGGCAATGTTAATTGATTGTTAGCAATTAGGTGCTCGCAGTCGAGCCACGAAGGTCAAAAAATTGTAGATGACCAATCATGGCCAAGGGGTCATGGTAAGGAGACAAAAACCTGACACTCATAGGCAAACATCAATGAGTGAGTACCTGTAATCAATAGATAGTGGTTGGGTGGTTATAGATCGGCAAGTGATCGTATACAATCGCATACAATCAACAAAAGTCAAGTATTTGTAATTATATCACTTGTTTCGATATCACAATTAGGTATCAAAAATCAAGTACAAATAGTCAAGTGATGATGATTAGGTGACCATATGCACATGATGGATGTCGGACAAGCGTAGACCAGCAACGAAGTTTGGGCTAGTATAGTTCGATGGAAGTGATTGGATAATTGTGCTCAAAAGATAGTGGCAACCTAATGATTGTGATGATTTGATTTTTGTATATGAGCATTAAAAAATTAATTATGATGGTATGTCATTGACATTATAATGGTTGTGGATGGGAGATGTTGATTTATTGGCAAAGGTTATACAATGGAAGCTTGTTAATGTTTGTTAGGCGGGAGTGATTCGGTGATTGTGTTTGAATGTTAATGGGTCAATAATGATAAGCAAGTTAGTAATTAAACAATCTGAAATAGACAGAAGGTTGGTCAATGACAATGGTAGCGGAATTACAACCCAATCAAAGTAGATAAGCAGTGACAGTAATACAATGATGGATAATCAATGACAACTCACGGGCAATAGACATATGGTGACAACCCTACAACGGTGGAGGTTGGCGGTGGTCTGACAAATAATAATAATGGCGAGGTAACTCTTTAGGCCTGGTCCCCTTCATATCCTTTCGTAGGTAGAAAGTGGTGATTTATTTAATTGTTTTTAGCGACATCTTTTATACATATCATCAAAAATAAGAAAACTCTGTCAGACCATCCAAAGTGATTCACTTGATTGGAAAATATTTGATGAGAATTTTTTAGTCTTAGTGGTGTTATAATTAAATGTTCTCAAGCTTATTAGATTTTTCCATTCGCTATACTTAATTTGAAATAAGCATACAAGATTTAGAGATCATTTAGTTCTTTAATTAAAATCTCAAGAATTTTTATTATGCTTTAGATACTCAATCTGAGTTTCATATAGGCTTGGATTAGATCACTTTTGATATTATCGAATTTATTTTATGAAGATGTTTAATTCAAATATAAATTTATTAGAAGTAGAGTTTGGGTTGTCTTGAACTCGACTCTTCAAGTTATTATGAATATCTATATTTGATCAAGTAATTTTTTGAGTGATAAATCAGTTGCTCTCTACTTTCAATCATTGAACTACGCTACATTCTTAGATCTCAATCATTTTTTCAAGCATAATAATAAATCCAACTGATTATGATGCATATAAATTATGATGAATGAAAGTTATCGAGTTAAAAATTTTGATAGTTCCTGATCAAATCCAATAGGCTTCAACAAATAAAGATAAAATGTATTTAAAATTCTAAGAAAGAAAAGTTGAAGCTGCTATGTGAATCCCAACTATAATTAAAATAAATTAAAAAAAAAACATTAGGGGGATGTTGATGGTTAAAAATTCATGCATGATGTATGCTAGAAAATTTGTGGCGGTAGAATAATGAATTACCGTGTATTAGCATTGCATGATAATTCAACACACACTTAGACAAAGTAAAAAAAAACAAGTAAAAATACCAGAAATTTTTATGTTGAATACCCAAAAAGGAAAAAAACTACAAGACCTAGCCCAGTTGAAAAAATCAGCTATAAACTAAATATCACCTGTACATTAAATCGTTCCTGATACTCCACCAACAAATTTTCATCATCCGACATAAATCTCAAGGCTTGACACAAATCTCGAGGTAGTATTTTGAGGAAGAAATGTTTAAATCTTGATAAAAAAATCATCTAGAGCTCTGATTTCAGCAAACTTATAGTTAAACGGACCAGCTCAATGAGACAAACCCAACGATATAAAAACCAGTCTAATCTGAGTCGAATCAAACTTAGATTAAGTCATTAAACCACTTTTAAAATTATGGGCACATTTGAAAGGTCAAACTAATGTCAAATCTAGCAAGTCATAGTAGAATTGAGTGTCTCGACAAGGCGTATCAAATGAGCTTAATATTTCTCGATTCTGACATTGTTAAGGCACTCAATTTGATTGAAGGAAGCTCTCTGAACCATCTGATCAAAAGTGGTTCATATTCTCTCGTTAATTGCACCCATAACATTATAAATAGAGCCCCAACCCTCATAAAAGGGAGAGCGTGAGCTTTGAGAGAGGACTTGAAGCTTTGAGAAGGACCTGAAGGTCAACACCATCTCGACCGTCGTCGAACACCACCGACCTCCATCGACCACCGCCCACCTCCGTCGACCACCGTTGATCGACGTCGCCGCCGGCGACATCACCGACAATCGCCGTAGACCACCTCTGACTGCAGTTGACCATGGTCTACCACCGGCGAGGTAGGTCGCCGCCAGCGACATCACCGACAATCGCTGTAGACCACCTCTGACTGCAGTTGACCATGGTCTACCACCGCCAACCACCGTTGACTACCGCTGACCGTTGTAAAAACTCACCAACTATCGTCAACCACTGCCTACAACCATTGATAACTATCAATCATTGTCGAGCACCACTAATCAAATGTCATCAGTCAATATTATAACTTTGAAAAGACAATGGATTTTTGTAATCATCAATCAATAGTAGATATTTACAACCGAACTAGACCCAATGGTTTTTCTCTTTACGAGTTTTTCCCATGAAAAACTTCAGATCTTATTACTAATTGTTTGCTTTCACCCCAGAGTGTGATAAATTCTCGTATAACACTAAGCCCATAATTCATTACTCTATCGTTGTGAATTTTCTAGCATGCATTAGTCCCATAGGTGGGAAAGGGTTGAACACTCTTCAGAGTTAGAACAGTGCATGAATGAACTTGTTGAAAAAGTGGGCGACGACAAAAGTAATGTTGGACTTTAGCTTCTCCATGCTTCAAGCTCTTCTTCATGTTTCCAACTCTCCCCCCCCTCGTGAGAGGGGTGGGGCTCAATTTATAGAATTCTAAGTGCAATTAATGTGGCAATATGAACCAGTTTCATCAGACGGTCTAGAAAGAGTTCTTTGATCATATAACATTTGATGAACATTTGAATTTCTTAGCAATGTCATAATTGAACAATCTTGAGCTCGTTGGATCCATCTTGTTGAGATGTTTAATTCGACTATAATATCATCAAATTCAATGTCTGTTTGACCTTTAAAATATGCCCTGAAAGCTTTCAAAAGTGATTTAATGTCTTAATCTGAGCTTGATTTGACTTGGATTATATCAGTTTAAGTATCATCGGGTCCGCTCATTGAGCAGGTCAGCTTGACTGTAAGTTTGTTGAAATCGGAGCTGCTTCTTGCTCAAAAGATTATTTTGAGTCCGTGTAATGTCTTGAGATTTGTATCAGATGACAAAGATTTGGACACACAAACACACGCGCGCGCGCGCGCGCACACACACGTTATGTGTCATTTTTAATATTTTTCTATTTTTTCACTCATTACACAAACAAATAAACTACTATGTAACATGAATGGGTCAACTTGTTGATAATAAAAGAAAGAAATTTGCTCCAAAATTGTTTCCTTAAGATTTGGGCGGTAAAGCTCCTATCAGATTAAAATTAGAAATAAATTTAAAGTTTTCAAATATCATTAAAATCAGCCTGGGCTTGACTTCAATCATGAACGGGATTGACCTGATGTAATTTAAAATATGATTGGACAAAAAAAGTTATTTAGAGCCGATTTGAATGTAGCTTTGGAAGAACATATAATTTATATAAATACAAAGATACATGAATTTTGCATTTAATTATCCATTAGAAATTCATTATTATGTGAACAATTGAAATATAATTAGGTTTGTTGTGTGTTGTTTAGGTTTGAATCAACTTGAGCCTACTAATTTTTTTTTTTTTTTAAGAGTATACAAATATAATTTGAATCAACTTGAGCCTACTAATTTTTTTTTTTTAAGAATATACAAATATAGCATTTGTGTTGAATCACTTTAGGACGTTGGGTCCCGTAATATTCATTGGTTCATATAACTAGAAAAACCTTCATGAAAAAAGATGAATGAAGAGAATAAATGTGCTTTATAGACTTGAATTATATGTTCACTTTATGATCCTTTTTGGACAAAGCAAAGACGATCTTAGAAGCAAGGATGGTATGAGAGAAGGGGTCTGAGGGCTCCTAAGAAAATCATAGTGGGTGGAATCCCTCAAAATAACCCAAATAGTTGATAATCTATCTCCCCTCCAATCTCTCTACACCCCCATAAATCATACATGTTCAAGAAATATTAAAATACAAGTCATGAAGTACACAATCCGTCCACAACGCCTCGATG